GTCTTGGGATGGAAAGCTTTTTTCCCCTCTCAGCGCTGTTTTGAGAAGCCTCCCTTCTCAAAACAGCACTGGGGGGGGGGGACCCCACAACTCAAAACAGTGCTGGGGGGAAATCTCTGGAGATCTGGGAAGGCATGGACTGCAGAAAGTGAGGAGAAAGGTATGCGCGTGCCTCTCCCGTCTGCAGGATAAACCCAAAAATCAGCTAGCCGACGGGAGGCCCGTGTGCTAGGCAACGGCTTGTGTGCCCGCAGAGAGGGCTCCACGTGCCACCTGTGACACGTGTGCCGTAGATTCGCCATCACAGGATTAGAGCATACAGGAAGTGTAACCTCTAAAACTCTGGTTTACCACTCAGATTACACCTGTCAGGGAATAAAATCCACCTGCACAATGACCAGATACAATATGCCACCTGTTCTAAAGGTAGCAACTGGGGTGTCACACTCCACAGGGAGTAAGGTTCACCACTAAGGGATGGGTGTACGCATTTGTGGGAGGAAATGATCATTATACCCAACAGTTGGCTTATAACCACACTGTACTTGGGCAAAACCCAGAAATGACTATTTGTTTTGATGCTTGTGAAGCAATAAGCCAAGGACAGGGGCAATGTGGTCACTATGGAATCCGTTGTGGTTCCTTGAATTGGGAAAGATCCTCTATTGTTAAAAGAAAATACATACATGAGATTAAAATGGGTCATGCTCATTGGTACACATCCGACATAAAGATGATGAGAGGACCCAGCATTGATCCCACTTCCAATCAAATTTGGTTTAACATGACTGAAAATGTTTCCAAGTCTGACTGTGCTCTGGGGACATATACTCCTATTTGCCTACATTTTAGAGATCCACCCACAAAGTCTCAGGTTTTTGAACTTGGAGTATCAGGACCAGAAAAAGACCCTTATGGAAAGATTATTGTAAGAACTGTCCAAGTACAGGAGACACCTAAAACCTATCAGGTCCATACTGTCATTTGGGAAACCATGAAATAAAAGATTGAGATACCTCCTGTCATCAAAAAATTGTTTATTGATTTGGTTGAGAGGATTGGTGCAAGCTTAAGTGTAACAAACTGTTATGTTTGTGGAGGAACCAAATGGGAGAGCAATGGCCTTGGGAAGCTAAAGAAATATGCATTGCCAATGTTTCCTCATATAGCTTCACATGGGAGGACCAGCAAACACCAACACAATGGACTCTACAAAGTGATGTGATAAGAGAAAAGTGTTTTGTTCGAACATATCTTGAACCAATGAGAGAGTTAGCCTGTGAATCTGGATGGTTATGTAAACCTGACATACCTACAAAATGTTCCTGGTGGTCCAACCAAAATTTGTCAAGTTCCAATCCTTTTAATTCATCAACACAGGAATTGTTGTATCAAATATGGAGTGATCCTGGGAATCCCTCCCTCCCATGGATCGCACCCGACCTTTGGTATTGGATCTGTGGAAGATGGGCATATGCTCAGCTACCTTTAAATTGGTCAAGAGCCTGTATTTTAGGAACCATTAATCCCAGCTTCTTCTTGTTACCCCTTAAACAAGGATNGATTGAATATATAGAAATTATGACTGAACTGATGTGGGCTTCTGAATAGTTCAGTGTGATCTGCTTTAAAAACTGTTAAAAGGTCTAACAGTTACTCCATAAACAAATTAGGCAAATAAAACATACCCACTAGATTGTAGCTGAAAGTCTGAGAAGTAATGCGTTTAGGGCTGCAACTGGATGAACCCTTAAATCTGGACCGCTCTGCTGCTCCGTGGATATCATAGCTAACCCAGTAATTTGATTTCTGGGTTTGGTTTGGTTTTTACATAGAAACTTGCATAACGAAAAGCTGCAGTTTCTGTGCCATACCGTACATTTAGATCTTCTGGTTTGGAAATAGAGAATGCATAGTTCTTACTGAATGAACTGATATTTTGAGGGTTTTTTTTTCTAGGGACCCACATTTTTAAACATGGTACAGATATACCTTATGATTATAGTGCCTCTTCACTTAAGGAACTAAAAATTATATACATGGTTGTTGCCTGTGTAACTTGTTTATCCTTTCACCAGTGCTATAAAATAGGTTAGGCTAAGAGAGAAACTTAATTTAGTTTTGTCTTTTAGCATGTTTTTCTAAAATGTGCTTAGAAATAAAAATGATTGCAAGATTTTTCTGTAGTAGTATGTTTATTTGATGTGTTTTATTGGTTTTAAATTCAGAAAAATGTTATTTAAGTATGCCTAGAAAGTATTGTGTTCCCCCTCTTTTTTTTCTAAGACTTTAAAAAACATTTAAAGAGTTACAAGAAGCACTGGCCAAAACTGGAATGAATAGAATTCAGAAAGATCTTATTTTCAAGACTGCTTTCTAACAATATGATATTGTAAAAGTAAATCAAAATAAAAAAGCACATCCCAGTTAAAATGTACTTCAAACTTGAAACATTTGCTTCTAATATCACAATGTGTAGGATTGAACTATTATACTTTTTAAAGTTTCAAATTCATAATCACCAAACAAACTGTACTAAAGAGATTCAGCAAATAAGCATATGGTTTTCCTAAATATAATGACAGATAAAATATTAAAAACTACAATATATTTTATGTTAAGACCATACAATAATTTTTCATGTGTTCAGCATTTTCAAAATGTTTATATTTTGCTTACAGACATAAAATCTGATGAATCAAATCATAAACCTATCTAATCTCACATTCTGCATCACTGGCCAACTGAATGTATTTGACTAATTCCCAAGCCTGACCTAGGTTCCACTGTTGCTTTCTGGCAATAGATGTGCTATTCATAGCCACTGATAGCCTGATAGTCCATGAACTTTCTAGCCTCCTTTTAAAACATCCAAATGGGCTACCTATTCTCACTGTGGGCAGCAATTTCCAAGCATATGTTATGCTTTTAATAATAACGTATTTCCGTCAGTCTCTAGAATCTCACTATTTAGATTCAACATTGAATTTTAACAATGTAAGAAAATTTTCTGACTATTTTTTCAATGTGTTATTGTACAACATATATCTCTGTCATGTCAAACCTTGCCCTTGATTTTAAACTAAATTTCCATATGTTTCCTTGCCAAACAGCTGCTGTTTATTTTAGTGTTGTTATATGTAGAGAGCAAGGGAAATATTTTGATGAAAATACACAAGAAATATTACTTAGGCAAAAGAGACTAAAACATATTTTAAGTCTAGAGAAACAAGGTAACATTGGAAAGTGGCTTAAGCAAATGCCCCTTTATATGGAATATAAAAAGAGGCAGTACAACACAATTATTTCATTCTATATGTGTGGTTATTTTTAATTTAAATATTTCAACTGCAATAAATGTTTGGATAATTGGCCTACAGTTTATCATTCCTTTAAAAGGGTCACTCCAGCTATTTTAGTCCTGTGAAAGACGTGAAGATGTTTAAGATCATTTGTGAACAGATCCATTTCTTTTAAAAATTCTTAAGTGGATATCATTTGGACGTGTATTGATTTAATTAAGTTGGTTCGTCTTTGTTTTAATCATGTTTATGGAACATCTCAATTCGTTCCACCAGTTCAGAATTGGCATCTGTTCTATTTCCTCAGTAATGAAGACAGAAGGAAGTAATTCATTCATTTTTAAAAAAAAATAGTTTTTATTTAAAGAAATACCATTAGAAACAAAGAATAACACAATAAAAAAAAACATACATAACAATATAAAGTAATTATACAGGCTTCAGTTACATTCAGTTTCCTTGCTTTTTCCTTATTTTTTTCTGATACCTTTAATACTCCCATCATTAGTATCCTAGTAACCTCTGGTTGGGCTCCTATTCCAAATAAATCTGCAGATATGTTTAATTTAAAAGACATCTTTTGTTTTTAAATGTATTTCAGACTGCTATAAAAAAAACTGGGTAAAAAGCATAATAGCTTCATAAGAACAACTGCTAAGAGTTTGCAGCTCCTAAATATTCAAAACTTAGTTTTACAGTTTAGATAATTTTGGCATGGAAAAGACATCCTTGAACCCAGGATATTC